CAAGCATGCCCATATCGTGGACCACTGGGACTCCACTGACTCTTCACTCCCTGTCAAGAACAGGCTACCTTGCAGATACATTCAAGAACTGGCTACCTACACGTAGCAGATAGATACAGTTCCGCAAGAGCCTTGGATTCCAGCTCAACAACATCTGGCAACCGCTACTCCCAGCGAAGGCAATCCCCCTCATGGGCAATGGGGTCTCCTGTACCTGGAAACCACCCCCCCCAGCAACAAGGTCATCTGAGTCACCTCCCCTGGTGTTGGGGTCTCTTCTACCTGAAACTGCCCCCCCTCCTCCCACCCCACCAGCAGCCTACTACCATTGTGCAGCCCATGCATCCTCATGCTCCAGTGCACCAGCGCCAACCCTTGGCCAGCATCCTCTACCATGCATCACCGAACTCACGACCAACTTGAAGCTACAGTAATTGGACCAGATATATGATCACATTTTTCATTTGTATAACTAGCCTTTTCGTGCAATATGTATAAATCCCATCACAGTAAGTGGTCAAGGTTGGATGGTCAGGGTGTTGTATTCATGGAAACTGCTACCTGATACATGCTCATATGTCATGGCGTAATGAGTCTCTTTCTTGTAACAGTACCAATAGTCCAATTATTGTTTGTCTTCTTTTGTTGTCTGTATGTTTGTCATTACTTGGGCTGCTTGGGTCACTTGGGATGATTTGCATATCGATTGTAATAAATGATGTACATGTACATGTATGTACATTGGGAACTTGTACATTCCTCAACCCACTCCCAAAATCTTTCATTTGAGTGTGTTAGTGTGTTAGGAATTCATGTACCTGAGTTACATGTACATGCAGCTCCGTGGAGCAAACCTACAATATGTTGGCATGTTCATGTTACATGTATGTACAGTGAATATGCCTTACAAGAATGTACCGTAATGTGTATACTACAGCTTTTGAAATTTCTTGTCCATGCATGGGCAGGTTTTGTTCGCGTACAAATATTTATACTTGTAATAGAACTTGATAAATGGAACAGGAGAGTACGGGTAAGATGTACCTTTTGGAATTCTTCAGATACTATTGGAGAGGTGTTTGAATCAGTGTGAGCTTTTCAATGTGACAGTGTCATTTTGATGAGGTATGGGTAGTCTATTTAGTTTATTAACTGCTACTCTTAATGTCCCTGATAAATGCATGACAGAAATGAAATAAATGTACAAAATGCATCTTAAAAATTCTCTAATTATTTCTGCTTGAATAAATATTTAAATATAGAAACTACGTGTAGTTGAAAATTCAAAAGAGAAATTATAATTTAAACCAAACAGAAGACCAAAAGACAGAGTACTGACAGTTGACCAGCTGAGTCACAGCATAAAAACGATACTGTTGAAAGTTAAATCAAATTAAAACAGTAATGATATAACAACTCAAGCAAAGATGTTGAAATTAATTAACGTAATTACCGGTACATACACTGTACATGTACACCATGTATATGTCCAAGGATTATGATGAAACAGTGCCTTGCAGCTGTTGATATTCACCGGAGATTTGTGGCATGGACTGACCTGTGTTTATTGAGGATGATTTGCTATCCCCTACTCAGATTTCATCCGTACTCTATTCATGTTAGTTATGGCCAGTGTCCATTGTCTCAAGACCTGTTTATGTTCAGATGACTCGTCTCAAGAACAAGCACAGTGCACTGTTTCTCCAGCCTACATGTAAGTCAAGTGTCCAGCATCACCTGCTTCAAATCCCTGTAAGATCTTTATCAGTCATGACCACTTATGATTTTAGAATTCCTCTGGAGTTCACAAGTTGTGGAACATTAGGTTAGTGTTGTGTCATAATTAAATCATCTTGTTCCTTTTTTTCTGGTACATTTTCTTTGTTATTTCTGATAGTGAGATTTCCAGTGATATAAATTTGATTTAGTATTGAGAATTTTACATCAGAACAAGTAAATTGTAACTTGTAAATTGACATTTATGTAAATTGTGATGTACTTGTGGCAAGTGGCGTGGTCGAGACAGATTAATTTCAAACATTTTATTCAACCAACTCTGAACCCATCGAAATATAAAAATGAAATACACGTTAAGTTTGTATGCAAAACGTACACGTAACTACATTATCCTCTCCATGCAAATCTACTGAGATTCACTGTGTGCATTATACAAGTCCGTTTCAGTCCTCTCTGTAGAGCAGTTCATCATCTGCTCAGGCACTGCCTCAGTGGATTCACCATTCCTCTTTATCATTTTGGACCACCAGAGATGCTATCCAGTGTAATTGTGCCCATCATCACCTGTGTGGATTAATTTTCTCAGTGGAGCACTGCTGTGCATTGTCTCCCTACCACCACGCATTGTGCAGTGGGGGTGGCATGGCATGGCATGGCATCTGCTTGTATTATTAGAAGTGTTCCTTTGCAGGTGGGACTTGGCAGTTCTGTCTCCTGGTAGTGATGTTTGGCTGGAGTGAATTGTCAGGCCAGCAGGATGCATTCCTATTGATTTTGACACTCAGCGGGGGAGATGCACCTCAGCCATGTCAGGGCAGTTTGTCCAGATGATGGACCTTGATCTGTCGTGGTTTTGATTTAGTCTGTTTCCAGAAGGGGGAGACGGCTGTTTCAACCACCGGTCAATGCCATCACCGATCAGGAAGTTGTTAAGCACTGTGCCGTAAGAGGAGTTCACTCTTGCTTGAAGAAATTTGTCTTTGCTGTGAATTGTGTGGACAGTCAAGGACACAGGCAAGGATATTGAGCAGAGAGGACTTGCTGAACTTCCTATTTTGTTCTCTGACTATGAGCAGAAATCATTCTCTGATGGCATAGGGATCATGAAGTTAATGATTTATCTGAGTTAAATGCTCCAGAGACTGGTATGCGGAGGAACATCAACGGACGAGTTATTGAAGTGGAGGAAACCTTTGGTGATTGCATCAGCCACAGAGTGGAATATTGCATCAGTGTCACTTCTCTTGATGCTGGAGGTCTACTTGTACTCTGACGTACTGTACCTCTTTTGCATCGGCAAAGCTGTGATTATAATCGAGCAAATGTGGAGGTGTGCGCAGTAGCCTCTTCCATCAGCATACAGCTTGAAGTACTCATTTCAAGCAACAGTCAGTAAAGTCTTCAGCTGATGCACGCTCATATATCAAGGGAAATGTTGTTTTTGTTGGAAAAGGCTTAAATCTCCAGAGTGTTTACACTGGATTTTCCTTGCTGAATCACAGACACTGTACTACCGGTGGATGTACTGTACCGTAGTACTCAGTGGATTGAGGGCTTTGTGTTTAGGTACATGTATATTCAGGTCCATGTATGAAATTTGAAGGATGCTGAAATGTGATCAGCTTTGTGGAGCTTATATGCACCGTGTTTATGAATACACTTTTCAGTGACAGTTCCATGATTGATAAGATAACTTTAAAAAATGTAACAGTCCTAGAACAAAATGACAGCGCCCACTGTCTCCGAGGACATTTGGAAGACAATCTTCAGGAGCCCGTCGAGCCCTCCTTGTCGGGGTGCCACGGGTGACGAGAGCGACGATGACTCTAGCAGCCAGCAACGATTTCTGAACAAACTGAGGGACATCGGCCTCGGCAGCCAACCGTCGAATAGGAGGCAAGGCCCACCACCTGTCATGCCTGTCTGCCTCAGTCTGGATGATGAGAAAGGAAGGTACTGGGTGTAGAACTGCTATCTATCTGTGACTTTCGATTGTACGTTTTTGCAAATGCAATTGTATCATTGTTTCTTATTGTAAATAATTTGTTGTATTAATGTAATACTTTTTCAAGGACATGTAAATGCCATACTTTTGTGAATTAACAACAGAGGATTATGACATGACCCGTAGTATTGCAAACAATTAATACCGTTGGTTTGCCTGATTGATATTTGTCGTCTGTCTTGTACAATTGATGTCTGTCTTGTACAATTGACGTCTGTCTTGTACAACTGACGTCTGTTTTGCACAACTGATATCTGTCTTGCACAACGGACGTCTGTCTTGTACAACTGACGTCTTTCTCGTTGCATGTATTGTTGCATACATGTACATATACATGTTGCTTTTACTTCTTGGTTTGGATGGAGTGCTGCTCTTACAATGTACATGTAGTTAATCTTGAAATAATTACACTACGTGTATAATTTTCCAAAGTAGAGGATACATGTATGTGGAAACCCGTTAGGATTACAGTCTAACTCCTTCTGCTTAAATTGTTGGTCAGATGGCTGTAAAGAACTGCAGGAAGCACAGTCTTTTGCAATAAGGATTTTATTTTGCAATGTGGTCGCCAGTACTAACTTGTGTTTGTTCTCCACATGTGTTGCATTATTTGCAACAAGAAAAATAACACACTGCCACCTTGGGCTTCGGTTGTTAATTTCTATTTCTTTAGCTTTTTAATCATGCACCAAGCAGATATTTGTGAAGGTTACACCCAGATGTTCAATATACATGTACATGTAAATATAACAGATTCGTTTACATTGTAGATTAAATCTAGAATCTGCATGTACCAGGAGACTGACGGTGTTGCCCCTCTGCAAGTTAATTTATGGTGCCATGGCAATGTGTGGGGAGAGTAAATGAGATATTCCCTTTTTGTTTGAGCAGGTCTATCAATTGTCAGATGGAACCCCAGTCCTAATGTAAAAGTAATAACCTTTATGCCTTGAACAAGCAAGCCTGGGTGATGTTGAGTCACATAACATGTAACTCTGACACTGTCACAAGGCAAGTGCAAACTGTCTGCAGCCAGAGGGAAATCAGTTGTATCATCTTCTTGCTGCTTATAGCATTTAAGATATATTTGCCTGTTTGCCCATTTCTCCTTGTGTCATGTTAGTCACACATAGTTTGCTAGATTGCGAGTTGATTGAAAATGATCAGAGAAAGTTTTCTTATAGAAAATTCTGCCCCCAAACTAAATTATCTTGGTGTATGCTTGTTTGTTTGATCTGTTTTTTAATTCTCCCTACAGTGCCCATGAAGGAAATACCAAGTGGTTGGATGCGCACTTTGATCCTGTGGCCAATCTCTACACATTCTCATCATGTATGGGTGAGTGCTGCAGCAAACTGGTCTGATTTCTTCTTCCAATGTTAAGGCTTTCTTGCACATGTGCATACACTGTACATTTGAACTCTCATAGAAAGTTCACATCTGGTGTGTTTTGCATGCCGTCTTTCAAATAAATGTTAGTTTATGCTACTGGCACATTGCGCATACATTTTGTTCCAATCTAGGATTTTACATATAGATTTATTTGCCCACATTCTTGTGTTTTGGCTTCCAATTTTGAATTTTGTTCTCTGCTGTGTTTCATTGATTCTTCAGTTTGCTGGATTTCACCCATAGTGTGCATGCAATGACCTTAAGACACTGATACGCATCAATGTGCTGGCTGAAGTGCTAGAAACGTTGAGTTAAAAGCATGATTGCTATGGAGATGATATTGTCTACAAACTGCCAAAGCTGTTGGATCAATGTAAAGTACTAAATGCAGAGGGTGCACATGGTTGCCCCAAATTTCAGAGACCAAATCTATCTGCTGTACTTATCTAGTGATCTTGAGGATGATGAGTGTTGTACTCACATATTCCCCACATGTCAATTGTCCATTGTAGCCTAATTTGGAGACAGTGGGCAGTGGTTGAAGTCCAAACATTGATTTGATTTATAATTCACAGGCTACATGTACTGTACAGGGTATGTACCGGTATATGCAGTGTAAGAAAATGTGGCTGGGGAAATAAGCCTGAATAAGCCATTTTGCGAGTTAAATTTAAATAAAATCTGGTGTACTGAGTTATCTGACTGCACATAAACATTATGATTTGAATTCCTCAGACTAAAGACACTGTTGCCATACCTCGTGATTCGAGGCAAGCTTTCGCATAGCGACCACCAGCTCTGGAATGAAGTGGTTCCTTTGTGCCCTTCTTATCCATTGAGAACAGTGTATTGTTGCAAGGCGTCTCTTATGTAACTAAGCAAAACCTTGCCCCGAATCACGAGGTATAGCAACAGTGGTTTTAGTAAGGAGAATTCATGTTGTTATGTTCACGTGAATTTAAAGAACTCAGTGCACCAGATTTGGGTCAAAGTTAATTCGCAAAAGGCTTATTAACTTGTAGTTAATCTATTTGTTTCCATTCTTGAAGCCCTTTCGGACATTAACGGAGACGGGGAAAACAAGCTGGTTATTGCTGACCTAGGCAGCGGTTCCTCTAACATGAAACTAAAGGTGTACAAGGGGACCAGCCTCATGAGTGAGAACGCCATCATTGAGCTACCGACAGGGGTCAGTACCTTTTTCATGGACACCAACGAACCACGAGTACCAGGCAAGTTTGTGACCCACTCAATGTCAACCAGACATTTTTTTGTATGGCGGTCTTAGAACACAGGTTATTAATTGTGATTTCAGTTTGGGGAAATTTATGTAAAGATCACAGGCACTGACAACTTTTGTACCCGCAGATTATGTACAGTGTTCTGAGTCTGTCAAATACGTTATACCACCACTAAACGGCTCATCTAGTTCAATCACTTCATACAGTAATAATGAACAATGAAATGCCCCTGGTCTTTGGTTATTTTGGGGTAAAAACTGACACTTTAAACATAATGTGACCCACCCATCAAAATGAGACTTGGTCATCTGAGCCACTTTCAAGTGAAAAAACAGTCTTCAAAAACAGTCACAGACAGTGTGAATCATTGGGAACAATATCATTTTTCACACACATGATGGTCAGTTTATCAAGATGCCAAATTACATCAATACAAAGAGCTCACTTTGGTCTTTCAAAATTCAAACTGAAACAAAATTACAGTACTTAAAAATGGGCTCCAGACTCCTTTTGTGGGATCCAGTCACATTCGTCAAGTTTTTAAGTTAAAGTCAGACACTGCAAGAACTGACTTACCATAATTTTGTAAAAGTCATTTTAAAGTTTCATACTCGACCTTGACACATACCCATCTTCGCCAAGGTTTAGAGAATTTCAAAAGGGGTTTCATTATTGGTTTTAAAACTTAGCGGTATGTGTAACAGGTACCGATACATGTATGTGTATCATTCTGTCTAACCTGCTTGTTATAAAGCTGCATATTTAATGTGTGTTTTGGGCAGTTCCGAGGAAACATCAACCTCTGGGCCAAAATTTCAAACTGGTCCAAACGTGACAAATTATATATCATTTTGAAGCTTATGGTGTGTACTTTCATGAAACATACTTCATTTCTAACAACATTCAAGAATTTGGCATTTATATGATACTGAAAAATTGGTTTTAAATACCGAGAAATTGGGGAAAATAATTCCCCTCTGAAAGATTTTCAGTTTTTTTAGCCTGATAATAATTATTTTGTTCCACTTTTGTTACAGTTTGAAGAGTGCCCCAATAAGTAAACAATGACAGAAATGGATTTTCATTTTCGTTTTGAAATTCTGTGTAATATCTTATTTTATAACACTTACTTTTCTGAAGTACATGTACGTCTGACACTAAAATGACATAGTTTTTATCCCCTCAGTGCACCCTTTAGCAAAAGACTGCCAAATTGACAATACAAAGCACAATGAGTTCCTTCGTTTTAGACATCAGCTCCCCCAATTATCTTTTCAAATACTCAAAGTGTGGAATCAGATATGTGCGTCCGACACCCTGTACGTCCGACACTGTCAGAACCATGCATTGCTGGCAATGCAATGCTTTTACACTGCACAGAAACCACTACCACCTCATTTGCATACATGGAAATGAGGCCCCAACCTTTTGTAAAAGTACCAAATTGGCTTCACTTTTGTGAAGTTGTAGATGTTGCATACATCCACATCAAGAAAGAAGAATTGTCAAAGACTAAACAGAGGTGTGTTTTTTATACCCTTGTTCAAGGTACATGTAAAATCAATTGGTTTCACTTTCTGCTGCTTGAGGAATGAAAGGGGGTGTTCCACTTGTATGTGCTTTCCATGGCATATACATGTACACTATCTATCATGAAACATACATTGTAAGACTGTAGTTTTAAAAGTATTATGCCATTAGTCTTAAATTTCAGTGAAAAAGATAATCTCTCAGCCTAATTGCTAGCCAATTGCTTTGATTTTTGGATTTTACATGTGTACTATAACCTGTGAAGTGTGAACTGGAAATCTTTAAAATTGTAGCTTAGTACACACGCAGCATTTGTCATACAAATATGTTTAATTTCATGTTCTAAGACCAAAAGATCTTACAGGAACATGTATGCAGTTGTCTTTTAATTTGATTTATTTATCTAAACGATTGTCAATTGTAAAAACCTTTTTTCAGTTTGAATGTTTGACATTACATGACTTGTTTAAATGAGCAAAATTTGCATAAATACTTCTAGACAATATTTTCCTTCATACTCTTTCATTGAATGCCCCATCATCCAATTCCTTTCTAGTTGCTTTTGATGATTTTTGTATGGCTTGACCTTTTTTTTGGGTTCGAAAGTTTACTAAAGCCTTCATGAAAGTAGAAAAATGAGACAAGCTTGGGTTTGAACTGATTACCTTCTATTCTGAAAAGTCAGTTTGGACGTGTACATGTACGTCCAACACCAAAAAATGTATGTCCGACACCAATATAATAAATGCTTTATCTGAAAGTCACGTCAAGATAAAAATGTGTTATTAACAAGGGTCTGCTAAAACTAAACACAGGAAAACTACTTCTTCAGGTCCTAGCAATTCACAGAGTTTGTGATACAAAAATGGACACTCCAAAAATTAATTTTCCCTGAGTACATCCGACACCATGGTGTTATGAGTCAGCTTCTACAAGGATAATAATTCTGAGTGAGAAATTTTGTCATTGAATGAATGTACATGTACCAACTGACTGATATCCTTTATCAAAATTAAAATCTGCTTCAGGATTATAAGTATAATACACACACTGTTGAAATGTCCAAAATGTACTGTACTTCCGACACCGTGGAACTGCCCTTTTAGAAAATTACCGTTAGCTATTTTTTTTTGAATTTCTATTCCTAAAAATAGGGTTTATCTTGTACAAGCATGTTTAGCCACTCATACTAAAATTCATGACCTCAGTTGAGGTGTGAATATTGATCTTTCCATACTGGTTTTTAGAAAAAAGAAATGAGTTTGAAATGTACAGCCATTGTGCAGTAATCAGTATTGGAGTTTGGCATAGATGCATACATTTCTCATGTAATGATAAGTGTTCAAAGAACTGAATATTTACTCAAGTTGATGGAATTTATTATTTGATACTATAGGGAGTGTGGGGTTTGTGCTTGGCATAGTATGAAGTTAATATTTCATCCAAGTAAAATGCATCCCTAGACTGGTCTGCTGAAGAACATCACAGGAATAGAAATGAATGAAACCATTGGTGATGGTGTCAACCACGACGCCAAGTGCTGCATCAGTGGCATTTCTGCTTGCCCTGGTGGTAGTCAAATAAATACATATAATATTATTGATGTTGAGCTGATAGTGTTGAAAAAAAAAAACAGATGTTGATGGTATTTGTGACTTCTCTTGACAGCCATTGCTGTGGCATCTGGACCCTATCTGTACGTGTACAAGAACCTTCGACCCTATTTCAAGTTTACCTTGCCTCCATTGGATGTCAACCCAGTGGAACAGGACCTGTGGAATCAAGCCAAGGAGGTAAACAAACTCAAACAAATATTCTATTTTCTAAGTACTTTCTAAGTATCATGAGGTATTGAATATTTTGTAACGGTCTCTGTGTATCTGGTTATGGTTGGTTGCAGAAATTCTGATAAAAGTCTAATTTTCCTGACTGTCATGCAGCTGGTTTTATACAATACTGGATTAAATCCCTGTTTAATTTATTCACGTCACTGAAGTCATTGCTCTGTAACGCTGATTTCATTAGTCACCAGTTGAAAGAGTGTTGTACCATGATGTACAGTCCCAGTTCTTTGGCACATACAAAATGGCAGGTGATACTATCAAACACTAAATGCCATTCTCACTCTTGCTAGTAATATGTCTTATTATTTATTTGGCTTTGACAAACAATACAAAGCAAAAACAAAGCAAAGTAAAGCATAAATTAATGTAAACTAACATACATGGAGTTAAAAATAAAGATAATCATGCAGGTCAAGAGTGCAGACTTTTTCAGTGAGAATTGAAGGTTTGGCTTCTCTCTGAAGTAAGCAAAAGTGAACAAGGCATATAAAAGCACACACACAATGGAAAATGATTATGTGGGTTAGGGGCCGCGAAAATTAATCTAATCACTGTTTCTTGGACCTTCACTTAACAAACAACACTTTGACAAAATAAACAAATAAGCAAGAACAAAAATTGCAGATAGCCGGGGAAAAACACACTAAACGGAAGCCCAAAGATTAAACTTAAGATTAACCCTAATCCAGTGTGTGCTGGTCATATTTGTGTCTTGAGACTGCCCACTTCAAAGAGATAAAGGAATTTCTGAATTTTGAAGTGATGCTGATAATTGATGCTGTAAGTGTAAAAGTCAGTTTCCCCATATGGTCACTGGCTGAAACAGCTTTTGTTTTTCTCAAGATTTTTTCTTTTTTTTTTAAAATTTCCCCTTGCAACTGAGCAGTTCCACTGAGAAGTTCAGTTTGGATCATTGTACATGTACGGCTACCTGTAGTTCAATTTTTTTCTGATGTGCTACTGAAAATAAAACTTTAACAGCAGAAGTTCACATGGTATACATCATCCCATGTTTTCAAATAATAAAACAGGAAAAATGGAGCACTTTGATGACACAGTACAAGTATCAAAGAACATGTACATGTAGCTGCCAGCTGTACTCTTTAGGGTTCAATTCCCTCCCACGTGTACGTGTGGGACCACCATTTGTGTGGACAGATGATACGAAACACTGAACCAGTAATGGATTTAATTATACAGAGTGCAAATCGGCCTCAATAATAGTGTTTAATTTCCAACTTGCAGTCCGCCATGTGATCGATGATCCATTATAGTTGTGCCCCCATTTCATCAGTCATTTCCAAAGATTGATTTCAAGTGGTAACGACATGCATCATGTGCCAAGTGCCTTTGTTTGCTCTCTCCTGCTGCCCAGTTAGCAGGTTCTTTTTATTTTGTCATTTTTTCTTTTACCCAAATATTACACACTGTTGCCTTAAAAGCAGCAATATCTGTTGTTTTGTTGTACATGGACAGTATCTGACTTTTAACAAACGTGTGGTCCTGTGCATGGTTTGTTATGGTTCAGAGAGAAGTTCTTTCTAGTGTGTATTTGCAAACCTTTACCCAGTGCTTTTTCTAATTACCTGTAAATGCTAAAAAGGATAATGAGACACTCACAAATGTACTGAAGCGTAAATTGTGCTGTGTTTAAGAATCTTTGTTCAGTTTACACACTAATTAATTCATGAGATTTCCCATCTGCAGTTTTGACCATTTGCCAGAGAACATCTCCCCTGTGATTTGCTATTGTACTGGTACATGTATGGTGCTTGTAGCCAGCCTCAGTTCCCATGGCAGTGCCCTCTTTTTGATGTCTGTCACAGGACAAAATTGATGTGACGGTGCTGCGGGAAATGTTGGACAGCATCCGGCGAGAAGGAAATGAAGGGGCACTGACAGTCAGATCTCTCAGGTACATGTACATGTATGGACAAGCTAACTGCTCAAAATGTCTATTAAATTATTACACTCTTAATGGCAAATTGTGCTTTAGATCATGTACATGTCATGTACATATACATGTATGTGTCAATACATGTAATAGACATCCATGTAAAACCTGGACGACACATTCTTCAAGCAAATGTGACCTGGCACCACAAAATGAGCTGAAAGTCAGAATTTTCATATATTGAGATGTTTGTGATTTTGAATTCAGCAGAAAAAGAGCTTTCGAATGGTATATTATTCAGGGTAAAAGTAGGGTAACAGTGTGACATTCCAGCGGCCTTGCGTATTTGTTTTCAATATAGTTTCAACCTTTCCGACCAGGCACGAATAATACCGTAGTCGGAATGGGGTGAGAAAATGACCTTTTTATACATCTGATCCTGCTGAAAATGTGGAATTAAATAGAAAGGTTACTCTTTCCAAATTCTGTGAAACCCCCAAACTGACATCCCCTTCAACTTTTGACCTTGAACCGTCATCACTGGAAATAGGGGAGTGTCACTTAATGTTCCTCTTGTTGTGATGTGTCACAAATGTAAAGTTTGCATGTTTGTGGCCGGGTTTCCCCATAGTTTGTTTTTGACTGGCCTCTCCAGACAACACCCATATTGCTGCCATATCTTAACCGAACTGTCACAATTTGGACAGGTCCGCCCTACATTGAATTTCAAGAAAATACTGAAAGATTACAACTTTGCATTAATTTCTATGTTCAAATAAAGAGTAATACTGTGAAATACTTTCCTGCAAATTCTTTTCACAAGTTTACTATGTACACTAAAAATTGGTTATGAAAATTGAAATATCTTTGGCAAACAAAGTCAGTATTCCAGGGAATTAATTTACAGAGAGTGAAGCCACTCTCTGTAAATTAATTTCTTGGAATACTGACTTTGTTTGGAATTAATCCCTCTGGAGGTGAACAGGCTGAGGATATAGATGTAGAAATTAATAACATGAAATAAATTTAAGAATCAGTTTTGCCCTTACACTGACATCTATTACTGTGTACTCAGTGTTTGTCAAAAGCTCTTGCCAAAAAATTCCTAAGCTTACTTGGGTGGGACTCCAATGTCTTGTCTAGTCTAGTCTTGGTTAAATGTCTATGGTGACTGCTAAGTGATAGCAGGCATCATTTTCAAAGCACTGGGGCTGCTTCATCCTCATGGGATGAATGTAGAGTTTGGTGCATCAGGTCTGTCATATATATCACTGAGTCTTTGCCCTGAGCTGTCTTGGCTGCCAAGATAGCAAATTTGTAGCACTGTATACGTTTTACCAAACATAATTCAGTTGACCAAAGGCTGTGTTTGAATTACGCACCGCATGGCTGGTATTGATGCGAAGTCTATAGGAAATTATTGCAAGAGGACATGTACGGTACATGTATCAGTACATGTAGTGGCTTCAACAAGCACATACATGTACAGTATGCTAATTCTACATGTAGTTATAAAGCAATTACATCCTTCAGACATTCACGTATAAGATATGAGATCTGGTTATCACCATTTGAACTTGATCTGCTGTTTGCTGAAAGAGGCAATCATCTTTTATGCCACTTCATCAAAACTACATGTACATGGACTAGTATTTTGTACCATATGCCTCTCATTATCGACGATTAAAGATACACCTTTCCTTGTAGGAATATGAATAAGCCCAGATCTTCCGGTACGATGACAGTGTTTCTAACTGACTTTGGTAGTCGTGGATACCAGTTCTCCAAATAATGTGGTGAAGCACCAACTACTCATTCAGCACTGGCCCATTCGGTCCCCTAGCAGTTCAAAGTACGTTGTGATACACCGGCGGCAGAATGATTTTCAATGGGGGGGGGCCCAGATGTCATACCATCAGGCATCAGCCATTAATAGGTCGATCAATTGAACCCCACCAAATTGTAGGACCTGCAAAAAGTGTGTGTGGGGAGGCAGGCCCCCCAGTTAAAAAAGTGGGGGGTCACTGGCTTCCCTGCTTCCACCACCAGTGCATACATGTAGCATACTGGTACAAGTATATGTCGGTGACCGGGAAAGCCCCAGTGCTACTATATGTTTAGTAGTACTGTTTAAGGTTCCAATGTAACTTTTGAGAGCTGGACATCATAAATTTTTGTCCAGTATTTCTTTACTGTGCATTGAGATTGTTCCATTTCACAGAGATACACATGTACCTATACATACACATTCTAGTAAAGTTAGATACAAACCACTTTTGCTATCTTGCTATGCAAAGTTTGTAACTTTTTTGCAGATTTATATGGGAAATAAAAGTTCGAAAGATAAGGATATGGCTGCAGAAAAAGGTGCAGGTAAGGACAATCAACTGATTTCTCTTGGCCTCGCAAGCATCAGTATACATTTTTCTTTTCTCTCCCTATAGGTTTCTAATGTTGCAGGACAAAGAGCAGATGGAAGGTTTTGCTAATCTTCATAAGCAGACAGCCATCAAAAGACAGGTGGGTGGAATTTTTAAGCTTCATGTAAACTTTAGAGGCCTACATGTAGGTCATTTCTGATGCCTTAGTCTTGTCTGTTGGTTTGGTTTCCAGTTGTAAGATGATCTTCGCATCAGAGCTCAAGATTGGCACATTCTTTTTATTACATAAAAATTAATGACGAGAGTTACAAAGCTGCACCGTTGATTTTGGTTTGCAATATTAATTTCATCTGGTCGAACTATCCACAATTGTTAATATACAAGGGTCGTCTGCTTTCAACCTACCCCAAACAGTTGATAACTATGCACATTCCTTTGTGTCTGATTCTATTCACATGAATTCTAATCAACCGTAGTGTGCCCTCTGGTCCCATGGTGCATAGCAGAGCAGCCACCATGTTCGTTCGTGATTCAAAACGGAAGTGTCTTTTTTGGCATCTTTGAGTTTATCAAGTTCCCTTTTGCTACCATGTTTCTTTGTTACTCTGATCAACTGTAACATATTGTAATAAATGTACATTCAGTAGTTTGTTATACAGTTCCCAAGCATTCCTTCTGAGCGACGTCGGCCAGCAGCGACCTTTCCTCGACCAACGCCTACCGTAGCTTACACTGGTCCACCCATATGGCTCACGCCCCGTGCGCTGGCGGTGCCTATCGCCTCACCCCGGTTGCCGCAGTCTTCAGACATCTCTTCAACTGGTGCACCTGGGCGTGATAGAAATGCTACTCCCTCTCAGGCCAACGCCGCATTGCTTTCTGGAGTGGCCCCTGCAGAGACAATGCCAGGCCACGCAATCACAGCACCACCCGCGTCCCAGGCAGCAGCATTGCCCTGAGTCACAACAATGCCCATTCATGCAGCATGACTCACAAGGTTTGCAGTGGGACGACCCCATGCCACCTACGCTCCAGCCCCACTGAGCGTCCCATGCCTCGAACTACTGACATCTGTCACTCTTCATCGAGGGCATCCAGGCATGGGTGGACACATGCTACCGGGCTGCCCCCTGCCTTAGCCGGTGCGGCTCCAATGGATGCAATACGAGCCACACAGGCATGATGCAGACCACAATTCAGGTACTCAGTCTAATTTTCCTTGGAGGCCTCTGTATGCCGTATGTTGCTCCATCGTCTGCCTCCACCCCTACTTGGTACGCCTGTTCTTCAAACCATCCGGTCTTCGGTGCATCCAGGCTTGCAGTAGACACTTCACTCCACCTTGCGTTGTCATCTGGAGTGGCCTTCAGTGTGAATACATGGCCGGGTCACGCATACTCAGCGGGGGCCGTGGCTCAAACAACTCCTATCAGTACGCTACCCGGGTCAACTCACCATGATTCTCGGGGCTATTTCAGTGAATATGACTTCAGACTACGTATGACCAGCCTAGTGGGTATAACCTTTTCACCACCAGTACCTGCTCACGGAGGCCGCGGGAGATGATTCTGCGCCTTGCCTGCAGACCCCCAGTGACCCGCCACACGTCTGATCCTGCTGATGTCTGAGAATTCGTCATCGGAGCACCAAGGCGTGAACTAGACAACAGCGATCCTAGGGCAGAACCCCTTCCATTTCTGGCCCTGCCATGGTGACTATACACTGTTCGAATTTGGACCAGTCTGCATCTGCGCCTCGGGCGTCGGAATTCACCGAACCTTACACCAACGTGGATTCTAACCACGATGAAATTAAAGGATTGGGATATCCGCCCAACGTGATGGATATGGCGGGGGGAGGGGGGATTGGAAGTGACTGGATATGATTTGACACCCGAGGGTGCTGTTTAAAATTTAGTACATTAAATATAACAGCTTTGTTTTAAGCTCCCATTACCTCAGTCATTGTAACAAGCAAAATTATCAGTTTTACACTGACTTCTACCCTTTTCTCTACTTTTTTGGGGGGGGCTTTGCTTTGTGTTTTTGTTTTGCTTTTGCTAAAAAAAGGGGCAAATGTCTAATACATGTAAATATCTGATCCATATTTCATTACTGCACAATTGTATTTTACATGCTCGTTCTAGTTTGAGAAGCTCCATGGTATGACATTGTTTTGATGTGCATCAAAGAAAAATAACTAGCTTAATAGGCCTTCACCTCGGTTTTCATTTCATTTCGAAAAACTTCAATCTGAATAAATTCTTGGGGTTTTAATTCAAAATGTATGATTATCCTACCGGTACGTATACACTATACACATACAAAAACAGTCAGGCCTACTTAAAAATTAAGTTAACTCACCTAGGCCACCATCATTGTTTGTATTTTCTTGCTAGGTTCTAAAACTTTTGTCAAAAAGAATATATCTGTATGTCGCATGATCATTCCAAACTTATTCTCATTACAATGTTAGATGTTTGTGCTGAAAATAATAAAAAGTTTGGTCTTAAAATAACGAGCACACACTACCAAAAAATTAATAAGAACAATTAACGATTCCAAAATTACGCAGGAAATGTGAAGATCGATGCAAAAACACTACAAGACTGCACATGGATGTGGTACAGTACTATGCACGTACCAGCCACCAAGACCATGTGTGTGCCATGGTTTTACCAAAAATCGTCCTCGTGAACCACTACAAAGTAAATCAAAATAACCATCGATATAAACGTATCAAGAGAAACTACAGAGAAAGACCAGGTTTTGTGACAAGTTAGTTGTAGCTTAGTTTGATCAGTTTTCGAGGCGACACTGAAAGGATCGGGCAACTACCGTGTTGCCAGCCATGCCATTGCGGCTGAAGCAGTGCACAATCCGGAGCCGTAGTCTGGCTCCAGACCCATCTACTCTTGTATTACCTTGTCAGCAGTACGGCGGGAACCAGTATTGTACATGCTGCGCGTACGTGATTTTCCACAGAGCTGTGAAAACTTACGTATTTTTGTGTGTGTACGACCTAGCTAGCTATGCCACGTTGTGGAAGATTTGTTCACCTTCTGTGCATTTTGCCGATGTTATGGTGACTTTTCATCGGTGTTTTAAAAGAACTATTTTCAAATTTCTGATTGCAATTTTTCTTTAACTCAATATTAGCCACTCTTCCCCTGGAAAATAGAAGTGTATCGATTGTGTATCGGGCGATTTTCAGCGTGTCAGGATTTTGCTCAGCGTATTGGCCCGATATATTGGTTCATTGGAGTCGATATTTTTGTACCTTATTTTAACGGCCGTGCGTGGTAAGTTAACTTAAAGGATTTTTTTATCGAGTACTGTAGTTCGAGTATGAGTACTTGGATGTCCGAGTACAAGTACGAGTACAAGTACTCTGAAAACGGTGTACAAGTACGAGTACTACAACACTGGTTTTTCCCCTGTTGCCCAGCCTTCACTGCAGTCATACTTGAGGTCCCTGAACAAAAAAAATGAAAAGTTACCTCTGTTTCTAACCAGTGGTCACAAAGGATTTGGAGGACAAACACTAGAACAATCCTCATCCTATCCTTCCCTCGCTGACATTGTCACTTCACCAGATAAATCAGCACAGAGGTCCGCTCTCACTACGCCTTGGCCTCCATGACAAGACAGATGTTCCTATGAGCCTCGGACTTTAGGATTAACCTGAAGGTGACCCATATCTCAAAGTCAACATCTCCTTTACAGATGTCTGCGCTCAGAGAAAGATTTACACAGAAGAACAGACTCTACATTGCAACGTGACTGAGCCAGTCCTTTGGGGTACTCGATAGTCTGCATATTGTCCTCCCTGCCTTGATATGGAATATCTAGCTGCTGCTTTTCTGTGCCAGACTCCCTCACCTATAGGTCACGGTCATAGACAACCCCCCTTTTCACCAGAGTAAGGTTGCTTATGTACGCACCCCTCTCCGCTACCCCTACTCCCAGCAATTCTGTCACAATTAGCCAGGAAGGACATCTCCTATATATTCATGCCGTCGAAACCTGAGGCCTCATTTACCCGGATTCTTGGTATACATCTACACTAGGAGTAAACAGTTCTCCATTCTTTCATGGCATGAAAAACAGTGTAAACACCGATAAATGCAGTAACCGACTCTTTCATCCTTCTACGTGCTACCGTCTGCTGTCATTTTCCATTTTATGGAATATTCGTCGTGCAAAGTGTCTCATTGGTGCGCGTGTGGCAAGCTGCATGCACACAGACTCTTGACCAATCAGAATTGAATAAGCTGTTCCAGGTGCCAGCATGTGATTTATCCAGCGGGCATTATACATGTAGCTCCTCAGCGAGCATTATCAAATATTAATACATGGTCCAGTCACACTGTTGAATAGGGAGAGTGTTTGAGGCACTTACGAATACAGGTTAATAAGTGCATGAATTACATAACAGCTTCAGCATATTATAGGGTTGTGTTTGAACTGGCTTATAAGACGAGTGTTGAGGGCAACTGTGGTTCAAGGCCAAGATGTTACCTTCTTTTAGTCTGTTTCCTGTTGGACAAGACCACTTTTGAAAGGTTGTTTAATTAATCTGCTGCCCAAATTTGTAGCCTTGAAATTTTTTTTTGGGGGGGGGAATACTTACTTCAATGCATTCTGAACTTGAGCGTCACTTGTATGAGCGTGACACCAATATCACATTGTGGGATAATGTGTATTGCTCAAACATTGCATTTGGCTTTAAAAGTGTCTAATTTATTGACAACAGTGGGTAGTCAGATTGGGTATGGTTTCAGGTCCAGAGACAAAACTGAGATTTGAGAATAGTATCCGGAATTAGAAAGCAGGAATTAAACGAGGTAACAGTGAATTGTACTAGAATACTTTGTAAAGTAAATCTAAATTCCAGCACGCAATGTGTTTAATATTCAAAACATGTCTCCATACACTACATTTGTTTACAGACAGTGATAACTTGCATGGACACCCTCAAGAAGTCCTCTGCTGATGAGGATGCTATCAGCTGCATTGTAGCTGGCACAGAGAGCAAGGAAGTCTACGTACTGGACCCAGAAGCCTTCACCATACTAACAAAGGTACATGTACATCAATTACATGTGTTTATACATACTGACTGGCAATGGATTACAGACTGACTGGCAGCGGGTACAGTGTTACATGTATTTCTGTGAGCTCTGAAAAACTGTGAACAACAAGAGAGCTGTTTCCAGTTCTTTCAGTAAGAAATAGAAATGTTGTTTCCTGGCTCATAGGCCATAAAGGGCTCATCTACTGGTATGTGGTTCTCATGTTCCTGCTAGGGCCCATTTTACACATATTAGCTGTAAAAGTTAGTTTTTGCTGCATTTACAGTGTATCTCTAAACACAATGCTAAAAGCCTGTTCGGTATGCAGATCATCATGGTAGTGACTTCTCTACAATAACAGTAGCATGTCACAGAAATACAGGGGGCACAGAAATACTGGGGGTATGACGAGGAAGCGCACAATCTGGCCAGTCAGTCGGTAGCATGCTTACATGTGGTGAGACTACTGATCGAACATAAATAGGTTGATAAATGATAGTACTTCTTAAGTCTAGGGGATTTGGCCACATTAGACCGTTTCGGCATCCAAGTACAGTAAATTTATTTGTGTCCATACTTGTATCTGCATGACACACGTGGGTATGTTTGATTTCGCAAACATTAAGTTTCGACGTGGCTTATGCAGCAATGTAGCAACATTGGTTGCACTGATTTCTTCAAAAGTAAATTTATTTACCCCAAAATAAAAGTATTGCTATCCAAACAAATGATACATCAAGCTTTGTGCAAGTAATGATTTTTTTGTTTTAAAGAGTACAATTTGGTAATAAATGTGGTCTGTAAACTGACGTGCATACGTTCATGTACCGATTCCATACCAAGTTGCTTCCATGACACAACAGCATCCATGGGGCTTCTCCATAGTACATATAACAAGACATTCTAAAGTTATGACGTCGTCAGCGAAAAAGATATGTGATTTTGCACATGTATTTTTCTGTTTGCCAAAACTGTCCATTAATTTTACCCGTAGTTGTTTGCACAAGCTCTGAATGTTGACTTATAATTATTGCCACCATGTTTTCATGACTTAATACCCCACTTCAACGAATACTGCAGTACTGGAAAGTGGCACAGTGATTTCTTCACAAATACATGGTATGAAAAGTGCATTACAGTCCAAGCCTAGTTGTAGCCAATCCTGATTGTTGGTACCCAATGATATCTCAATCATTAAAACGCTGCTGAAGTATTAGGATTTTTAATGCATGCCTTTTTCTAAGATGTTATTTCAGTAAAAGAGACCACATTTCACTCAGTGTACTCAGATATTCAGCTTGATATACTTGTGAAATGTTCTGGCAAAATAAAAAGAACTTGACATAAGCCACAGTGGAACATAATGGATACATAGTCGTACTAATCGTTGCCAATTTTAATGTTAACTGAGATTTGCAATCTTTGATACGTAGACTCAACTACACTGCACATATTTCAAGGATAGAAGAGAAACAATTATAAGATCTCTCCTTTTTTTCGGCATAGTACATGTATATGTAAATTGGCATTCTTCACTGTCATGAATGAAAGACTTGAAATGTATTTTGCCAGGATACTTTACTTCATGTAAAAATAAAGAAGAAAAAAAAAAGAAATACTATACCAGTACTTTGTACATGTGCACACATGTTTGTACATGTATGTCTTGATGCACATAGGCAGTCTTGCACTGGTGCATACTTACGTGTATGTATGTACACACATGTATGCAGCTTTACCCGGTAGGACTAAAAAAATTCTCTGTTTTCTGGTTTGTGTGCGCGTCACCGTAGACCTGTGTGTCGGTATAATGCTGTACGATGTCCAAAATCTGTCAAACTTGCTTGATTGACCAGGATCCTGCTACTATGTAATTTTAATGTGTTGTAGATTGGGTACAGCTGAGTAATATGTACAGGAAAGGAGTCCTTCTAGGCCCACATACGTTCAGTCGGGCACTTGTTTTCAGATAATGTCATTTCTGTATTATACATTTACGTCTTGGAACCAGACAAATGAGGTGGTCTCATGCCCTGTGTACGTCTACAAGCTGAAAATGGTTGTAAACAACCAAGGCCGTTTCCAATACTCAACTTCAGCTCCGTCTCAGGCTTCAACTGTTTTTTTACTAGCTGACTTTGAAGCTGTAAATGCAGTAATCAGTCTAATAGTGCCACAGAACATCAAATAAGATGCAAGGAAGCCCAAAATTACAGTAATCCAATGTAATTGAAATGCTTCAGGCCCAGAATCGGGGATTGGTTTTGGGAACGAAGCCTGAGACGGAGTTGAAGTTGAGTATTGGAAAATGGCCTAAGAGCGAGGGGGGTCAATCTATTTCATTGTTGGCAGTGGCAGTACATATGCATGCAGTGGCGATGGACTTACTGGTACATACAATGTACACGTACATCATTTTTAGGGAAAAAAGTGAGGGCCAAAAATAAAAAAGCTGTTGCGCCGCACCACTTTTGGAGCCAATCTCTGACTAGAAACCGGAGACTTTGTGTTTTGGGCCTTAGTCTGAAAGGCAGTTTGTTAAATATTGATTTGAATCCATTTTTTGATTGTCCACTCTAGATGTTGTTACCCAGTGTTCCTGTTTTTATGAGTGTGAGTGGTCTTTACGACGTGGAGTTTCGTATCATCATCTCCTGCCGGGATGGCAACATCTATGCCCTCAAAAGGTAGCCCAATATGCTCAAAATGTTTCCTGATGTGCACCAAAACTGGCTAATCAGATCATTATTTTCTTTTTGAGTGGTATCCGAGATCAAAACTCATTATACTTAATCCTTATGTTGTTTTATAAATTGTTATGGATAGAGGAAGAGAATTATTGAGGTGTTTTCTTTTAGAGGGGTGTGGAAATGCCGACAAGAACAACAATGCACAACATAAAAGCATTCAACACATTAAAATCCTAACACCTAAAAAACAAAAGCACTTGTCTGGTTTTATGTTCATCATGGTGTCGTACTTTTACAGTTGCACATGGAAGACTTACAGTAAGAAAGTAACAATGTATGATGTAAAATCTAAGTCGGAAATATATTCAGAACTTTATGATGTTTCTGTGGGTTTGTGCTTTCTACTCTGATGAATGTATGCGCAGCTGCCAATATTCAGCTATGAGCATTCTGTTAGGAACATGGCATTCGTGCATAAGGCAGACCTACATGTAGAACAGTCAGGAACACCATGTTCCCTACAGAATGCAGCACGTTCCAAAGGACTGTCTATTTTTCAATCAGGAATATCCCAGTGGATGGTAAACATTGCCAAGATGTTCCCCTTTAGTGAAGGCTCAGGCCTGTTAATTCACTGTCCCATGAAATTGTCCCAGAAAGTCTCTGGCATGAACTAGTTGAACTGGTTCAAGTTTGAAAGGGATCATTCTGTGTGAATTTATACACCCTCCTATATGACCCCACTTATATTCTAAAGGAAAAATGAAGTTATAAACTCAGTTATCAGCTTGATACCGGTACTTCCAACTGTTTTTTTTTCCCTGTGACAATATTTCAAAGTGTGGGTGTCACGACCAGTGTTACAGCCAGCCATATTTTAGTGCAGGACAATTTAGTAATGGTGAATGAAGGGAGCCAAATGATTGAAGTGACCAGAGTCTCCCGGGTCATGGGGGGTAGAGGTTTACAGGGGCCCGCTTAAGGGGCATCTAGATCGCTTTGTGAGTTTTTCTTTCCAAATTGGTTAAGAGTTCAAATGTTTGGTCTTCCAGGTATAAAAATATGACATTTTCATCGTGACAAATGTTTTTTTCTGGGATTTTAAAGGATTTGTATGCCAGTTGGTGGGCTGTTTCATCAAGCTTAGTGCTTGACAGTAGAACTCTGAGGTGGAGATCCGTGACCTGCACAGACCAACATAGCTATAACACTCGCTGAAAGTAACTCATTTGTTTTGGTAGCATCCGTAAAGGCCTATTTATTTCATTCCACTGAAGATGAAAAGTTGATAATTTGAGTGTGGGCTATATGTGTGGCCATATTTTCAGATTCTGAAATTGGAAATTGTTTTCCTCTTTAAATTCTGAAATAATTGAACCCTGAAATCCTCATTTTGTACTGTTAAACCTTTTTTCAGAATGGGATCCATAGTATCAATTGGTATAATTTGCGGGAATATGTCCTTTTTGTTGTGCAAAAGTTCCACTTGTAATCAGATCCCCAGAGGAGGTAAGGTGGGGCCTAAACATAATGCTGGGACAAAAATAAGCCTTTTGTGAGTTAAATTTGAAGAAGATCTGCTACACTGAGGTCTTGAAATTCACGTGAACGTAACAATTTGAATTTTCCATACTAAAGACACTGTTGCTACATGTATATCTCATGATTTAGGGCAAGCCTTTGGTTAGTTACATAAGAGATCCCATGAACCAGTTCACTGTTTTTAATTGATAAGAAGGGCACAAAGGAACCAGTCCATTCTGGGGATGGTGGTTGCTAGGCAAAAGGTACGATAAGAGTGTCCTTAGTCTGGGGATTCAGTTTGTCATATTTGCAATCAGATAACTCATTTTACCAGTTTTTATTCATATTTAACTTGCAAAAGGCTTATTAACTCTACGGCCCCCAACTTCAGGCCACCAGCTGACCCCATGGGTACGTTTTGGGGCATAAAGTTATGTATTGTGCACATGTATTGTGCACATCTCACAATTCTAAGGTGGGAAAGTTTGATTACCTGGATCCTTATGGATAAACTGATTAAAAAAAAAAAAATCATTTCTATCTTTTTTTCCCACCATTGCTGTAATGGACTAATTGCTGAGAGTAGGACAAGCATTATAAGATGATGACTGGTTAGCAAGGATGTGAGAAAACCTTCATTAAAATTAACATGTTCTAAACGAGTTCTGAGGGGACAATATCTGAAAAAGTCCATCATCATACCAATGTTACATCTTGGGTCAGGGAGCAGGCATTGGATACATGAGATTTAAATCCATACTAAAAAGAGGTATTTTTTGTGGCATTAACTATTTGCTACATAGTCAATACATATACGGTTCATATTCAACAAATTGTGCTACAATTTAGAGCATTTGTCATCCTTCCTCTTCCAATACATGGTATGAAGTTCAATGTACATGTATTACTACCAAGCAGCACGCTCAAGAGTCTAGCGTATTGGCTAAAGACTTACATGTCGGAGGAAATTCATCCTAGAAGTGGAATAAACCTACTGTATTTCTTGTTTGTTTTAGTAATCTTGTGAAAATATAGACATGCCTAGTTTTCTCTGTGTTAGTGCAGAGAATGTAAAGCATACAGAAAAGGGCTGTGACACTTGTCCTTTGACAGGTTGAACAGGAAAGCTGTCAGGGGAGTCGAGCTGAAATTTGATTTTCCTTCACTGGTATGCCAAGGTATTTGCAGGAGTTTTTCCAGGCAATCAGTCAGGGTTGTATGAAATACCATTTATGTGTGATTTGACACAGAATAGCCCAAGTCAAGGATATCAGGTGAATGAGTCTGGTACTAAGGCACTTAAATTGTAAACAGCATCGATTGTACGTGTAAGTTTCATGTTGTGGGTTGATTTTTCCTTTTTCTGCTGCAGAGGAATGAAGATGGCGAAGCACTGCGTGGAGCTGAACAGCCAGCCTGTTGGTCTTGAAAGGGTTGGCAAGAATATTGTTGTAGGCTGCATGGACCAGACTTTGCAGTGCTACACAATGAAGGTAGGTGTAGTCAGGGGCCATTTGCAAAAGATTTTGTTTTACAGTGATCAAAATTGAATACATTGTCCTGTGCCCCGGGTTGTTGTTTTTGATTACATGAGTACGGGCGTTTCACACTAGTGCACGCCTTCAAGAGTGCAACGTGTTGACCAGTCACAGTGCGTGTTTGGAAAGGGTCGACAGATTTCGCACTCTGCTTGGTCAACGCATTGCAAACTTTTGGAGGCGCACTATTGGGAATCGCCTGTATTCTTCTTCATGTGAAGTATATAAAAGTTAATGGTTGCAGTGCATAATCATTCTTTTAACATCTGTGTATCTCGTTTTGTACCATATGTTTCCTGTATTCAGTTAATTTATCTGCGGGCACTTCAGAGAAATTTGGCACATTTTAGTACCATTTGTAAGCCCTATGCCACAAAGTTGTGAAGTGCTTGCAGTAAATACTTAAGGTTAATTTTAATGACATGTATGTCAAACATCTTGAATGAAGATGACCACTTGTTATTCCTTTACAGCTATCACAGCAGTCCTTCAACATTCATTAAATTAGCTCCACCCACCATTTTGAAAGAGTTTTCCTCTTCATTGGAACTGGGAAGGAAATTTCACAATTTTCCCTCCATACAAAGCTTACAATTTCTCCTGTGTATATACCTAAAACAATGAACCTTACACATCATGAATGAGTAAAATCTATTTGGTGCAGCTTATGCCAACTACACTTAATGATCGATGTTAGTGGCACCATTACTTGCTATGCAAGTCCCAGACCCATGCAGTACCAATTTTCATGAAATGATCTGTAGTACAACTATGCAGCAAAATGCAGCGTAGTGATAGCAAGTAAAGCCATTATGTAAAGTTAAGTGAAATTTGCTGTGGCTGATCTTAAGTTGTAAAGTGAACGTAACCAGAGTTTAAAGTAAAATTTTACTTACATGTACATGTACATTGTACCTGCTCCACTTGTGTTGCCTATTGAAATAAAAAACAACCTTCCTTGTTCTGCTTCAAAGGGCAAGAAGCTTTGGACCGTTTATCTACCGTCCAGCATAACCACAATGTCACTTATGGACCACAAACAGAAGGGCTTCAAAGCTGTCATGGTGGCCTTGGATAACTGTGAGGTCCACTTTTACAGGGAGAAGTACCTGATCAACACCATCAAATGCGGGGTAGGATCGGTAGATTTTTTTTATTATTGGTTTATTTTAAAACAGAAACATTGCAGCCAAAGGGTGAATTGCGTTTCATGTACATGATCGTAAAAATATTTAAAATCCGCAATGTGTAGGAAAATTAAAATATTCAAATTATATTATAATACTTTTATAGATAAAATAGACATTTACACAACTAACCCCGCCAGCACAACTAGGCCAAAAAGGACCTGAACATACAAACAAGTTAATGAAGTTAAAAAAGGAAGACCGTACTATATGGTAACTATTACAATTAAACGAGACATAGTTTAAAAAAAAAAATTAAAATTAAAAACGGTGGATTTACAAAGACAAAAACTACACAAGTCTTTCATGAGACTAGATCCGAAGAAAAGGACTTAGAGGATGAGATAACTCAACTCCCCCCGAAAAAGAAATATAATTGGTGAAATTACTAAGACAGGGTGAGGGTACACATATGCATAAAGCTAGGAAAATATCAGAGTTTACGGGGTCAAAGGGCCTTTCCGCTCCGCAAACATCAGGTTGTGTACCTGGCCGAGCAACTTGTACTTTAAACGGATCAAAGGCCGGAAACACATTGATTTTTGAAAATTATGCCACACAAGAGAGAAGGAACCATCCCCTCCAAGCACCTTAATCGTGCTTAATGTAAGTGGGAATTAACGTTAACTGGAAATAAGAACACATTGATTAGAAACATATTTAACTAAAAATAAGTGGATAAAAGCATTATCTGGATTTGTTGAGCCTGTCGACCAGGGTTGGAATACAACTACTTTTATACCGATTTGTCCAACATTTAAGAGTACTAATTTTATTTGAATTTTGTAAGTTATTATTACGGTTTTGAGGAAGCCAATGCCTGTTAGAAGATCTTCAACAGAAACATAACTTTAAGTTGTTGTAAAAAGTAAAGCCTTCGGTTAAAATTACTACACATGTTACTCATTTGGGAGTCCCACTTCAGATTACTCTGTATGTAAATGCCCAATAATTTCATGCAGTCAGTTTGTTGAGATCAGAAATGTTGAAAGGGCGGAGACCCGGTGGATTACGATGAAAACAAATATTCATATACTGACATTTAGTAGGGTTTAGTTTCAGTTTGTTTAAATCAGACCAATTTTGAAGATGATTGAGCTCATTTTGCATGTTTAAAGATTTGTTTGGATCTGAGAATGCCTGACTTTAATGTTTTAAAGCCGGATGGTTGGGAACAAATTCATCATTAATCATGGCTAAAAATAATATAGGCCCGAGTTTTGTTCCTTGTGGAACTCCTGCACACAAAGACTCCCATTTTGACAAAACACCATTATACTGAGCTGCCTGCAAACAGTCTGATAAAAAACTGCTCAACCATGGAATTAAGGGAGCTCTCACCCCTAACTGAATAAACTTATTAATGACAATGTTATGATCTACTCTGTCAAAAGCCTTGCTGAAATCAGTGGCAATTAACACGGCTGAATTCTGTGGCTTATCAAGAACACTGTGAATATCTTCCAAAAGTCTAACCAAACAATGAGTTGTGGATGAACCCTTCAGTGAACTAAATTGGCACTTATCAATGAAAGTAATGATAAAATAATATAATAAAGTATTCTCCGTCTAGCGTTACACAACTCAGTAATACGTCACTATTTGTGCCAAATTGAGGTGGGCTTCTGCATAAAGACATTGTATAATTCTCAATTGCATGTACATGAATAATGCAAGTTACTCTTTGTATCTGAATAACGGATGTGATTTCAGGATTTTTGATGCAAAAGATCTGGATTTTCAAAGGTTTAATCAGTTTTGCTACTTTTTGTACTTTCTTCACAAAATCAAGTGCGGAATTCAGATACTTTATTTTGGTAAGAGAATAAATATGTGCTTGGCCAGTCTTAATCTTGCAGTTAAGACCAGTGAAGGAGCAGCTCCGGCATGATCAACATTCAGTCTCATGAGCTGGTCTTGAAACGTTTGAGACTGGCCAAGCACATTATTATTCCCATTCATTTATACCTTTTTTGGTCAGAAAGTCAAAAGAGGTCAATATATGATGGATTTCCAATGATTTTGATGTAGAATTTACTTTCATTTTCATGAATGCTCTTGTCCATTTTATTTTATAATTGTCCAAAAGAATCTCTTTATATGGACTTGGCACTCACGTGGCGAGCCGTGTGCTCACAAACTCTTAACCAATTGGAATTGATTAAACTTTCTCATATCCAGACGTCAGTGTGTGATCTATTTATGGCATTATCAAGTGCTAATACACAGTCAAGTTGCACGTTTTTGAATAGGGAGACTATTTGAGGTATTTATGAATACACAATGAAACTTTCCGTGAATGTAAATTACTTATTTGCAAGAGAGCACATCCCTTGTTAGCCATCACATGCCCTAAGAAATCTGTTTCATTTTCACTGCAACCACCCTTCTGGTGGATGTTCGATTGAATTCTACTGGTAGAAATACCGCAGTCTCAATCTGGGGATCATTTTTCTTGCAATTTTACAAAGATGAACTTTATAGCCCTCAAACAGGCAGAAAAAGAATTATTCCGCAAAATGGCTTACATTTTTATGAGGTAGTCAGAAGAAATGTCCTCTGGCAGAATACTTGCCTCTTTCTTCATTACTGTAGTTGAGTCCATCCTATAAATTTTGCAGTCTTGAGAAAGGGGGCCTTTCATGGACTTTTTAAATCTAGTTAGATTTGCCTTGCATGATATTAGACTCCAAATTCCATTGCGTTTATAAGTGTACATATCAACTGGCCTGTCCTCGAAATAAAAGGAAAACTTTCTAAACCTACTTGAACTCTCTCTGGGACAGGATGTGATCACTGGCCTGCAGTATGGACGCTTCGGCCGGGAAGACTGCACTTTGGCCCTCACCACGCGGCACGGTGGCCTGCTCATCAAGATCCTGAAGCGGAACGCCATGTTTGAGGACAAGGATCTAGTCAGGGGCCCGCCTCCTGCTCAAATGCAGAAATTGAATGTGCCCAAGAAGACTAAGGTGTTTGTAGATCAGACTATGAGGGAAAGAGAGAATGGAATAGGTAAAGTTTTCTTCTGTCCTTTTTCATGAAAGGTAGAATTGAGAGTTATTTTTTGTCGTTTGAGTTTGAGCACATTTTTCTTCTGAAGCAACAAAATTGTGCAAAATCTTAAAACCGGTGCTTAATTCCTCCCTGGACTTGAAGTGCACCCCACCCTTGCTGGGTGAAAACACGCCCGCTCTTCTTTCCACTTGGAGTGGATAACTGATAATGTCTTAGCTATGAATATTTTATATTTTGAGAAAACTAAGAATACGTCTAGGCCTCTTAACCCAATTACACATGTACGTGTATTAAACGATTGCCACATTTTGTATTGTATTTAATGAGTAGGTATAAAACACTGGCATTATAAATGCCTTTTTGACCAATGGAATGTTTACAAATTCCAAAATTTGTGATCAGTGTAGCTAGAAATCCCTTTATGCATGTACTTGATATCTGTCATACCGGTAGTTTACAGCCTGAGCCACTTTCAGTTCTCAGTATTTGCTTGAAGTGAGAAGAAAGCTGTTTTTACTAATATGTGTATGCAGGCTAAAATTTCGCATGTGTTCTTCGCCATGTCTAACAACACGGACTGCTGATGACTAAATTGTACCTGTAAAGGTTGCACTTTTGTGATGATAGTCACTCTTGCCCCCCCTCAAATTTAAGGATCATTATTTCCCACGTGCATTCCATCCAGCGGAAAAAAAAAATTGCACATCGTGTTTAGGATTGTGAAGTTAATTAATATTCATTTTCCTTTTTGCTTCTAGCTGTGCCTTGCATGTTCCAGTATGACCTCTAACGATTATGTTTAAAAGTGTGAAGTTAATTAAAATTTCTTTTCCTTTTTGCTTTCAGCAATGCATCGCATGTTCCAGCATGACCTCTACCGATTGCGGCTTAACACAGCCAGGTCATTTGTCAACTCTCTGGACACCAGCCTGACTCCAGTGTCCTCTAATCCGGCAGAACCACTCAAATTATCTGCACAGGTTGGTACCCTGGCTGCAGCCTTAGTGTGGCGGAATCATGGTTGCCTATTTATGTTCAAAGTACCAGCGGTTTCAACCTCTAAGTGTAGCAGGAGTATCTGAGGGCAAATTAGATACCACTTTCTTGAGTGAGTCAGGCTGCCGACCATGAATGTCTCAGTGTAAATGGAGTGCAACCAGGCAAAAATTCAAGACAGCAATCATTGTATTAAATAAGTTCTGAATAAAATGAAGGGACAATATCAATCTCGAAATACAAACAAGTGTGTTTGCACAATTTTTATGCACAACAAAATTAATGGTAAAGATGCAGCATGTGCGTGCCATCTTCCGTTGAGGCATTTTTATGATTTGTTCCCAGTACAGAAGTGGGGAGTAAAAATCCTGTATGGATTTTCGAGTTGGATGAACATGAGATGCAGTTTTGAATAAGCCTACCTTGTCCCTGCAGCCAAAACGCTGAACTGGAAGAAGCCAAACACGGGACTTCCGGAACAAACTAAGCGAGTCCATTCAGCACACTTTACATGGTATTAATGGTGCACAAGAGCGTGTGTGAGGAACGGGCAACACAAGCAAAAATGGATAACGAATATGTCCTTACAATTAGCACACACGGAAGGATTTAAGGCATCCATTTGTCCATTGAGCGAGAATGAGGGTGACTTAAGAAGAGAGGGAAAGTTTACCAAGAGACATTAAGCCCTATTGTGAGGTGTCAGCACACAGGGGGGCGGATCCAGAAAGTTTTCTGGGGGGGTCAGGCTGGAGACATTTTGTAATGTCTCATTTTTGTGGACAAGCAGAAATGATGTTGAAACATTAAATACCGGTACATGACTTACATGTACATTGTTTGTATGGTACTTGCCCCGTTTTTGGTTTTTTTTGGTGGGGGGGGTCGACCCCCAACATGTTTGTGTAGATGGCCTTGTAGCCTCACTGTCATATTGTAATATCTGCCACTTCTATTGATTCTCTATGAGCCGCCAGGTTTTCTGTAGGTCTCGGCCGTTTATTTCCGCACCAAACTGTCTGGCAGAAATGTCTGGAAAAAATAACCAATTTAAAATGTGTGACATGAACACAGCTACTCTGCTGAGCCCTTGGCAACAGGTCTCCAGACCAGCCAACAGGGGCACACTGCAGAGCTCCACCATGGTTCCATGCTAGCCCCTCTCCCCCCTGCCGGTTGACAGGCGCTGGTGCTAAATATTGTATGTAGCAGGCCTACATGTGTAGCATGACAGTACCAAGTTCAAAAATGTCGCATGGGATATATAGGAAACACTGTTACCATACCTTGATAATGATAAAGGAATACATTAGTGCTTGGCTGGTCATAAACGTTGGGTCTTCTGCTTTCATCCTACCCCAAACAGTCGCTAAATATGCAAATTTCCTTTACCCTGATTCTATTTGCTAAAAACTTGATCAACTGTATTGCGCCCTCTAGACCCATGATGCTTAGCGGAGCGGCCGGTATGTTTGCCCTTCTTTTTCTTAGCGATGTGTCTTTTTAGACATCTTTGAGTTTCAAGTTTTTTGTTTTTTGCTCCACGTCCCTGTGGTACATTGATCAACCGTAACATATATTAATAAAACATAGTATCTACAATTCTTCATATGACATTTTATGTGTGTTATTTGTTGTTTTTTTGGAGGTATTTTTCTCTTTCTTCGTATGTGCATGCTTGCAGGTTACTGATGTTGATTCTGTGTAGCTTGTGTCATCTATTATTGTATGGGGTCAACCGGGTGACCCAAGACAGTTGGGGGCTCAATGTGATCTGCAGTCCCCAGCCCTACCCAAAACCAAAATGGGTCAGTCAGCAGTTTGATTGAGTCCAGTACTCATGATTACCTTGCTAATGGTCTGCTCAAACCGGCACAAGTTCTGGTTCAGAACTGAGGTTAGCTAAGCGCCACTCACAGGGGACTGAGCTGTGGTGCATGTGATTCGATTACTCCAATCCCCTTGTGATTCTACCACAACAACAAGGTCTATTGTGGATTCGATTACTCCAATCCCCTTGTGATTCTACCACAACAACAAGGTCTATTGTGGATTCGATTACTCCAATCCCCTTGTGATTCTACCACAACAACAAGGTCTATTGTGGTGGCCTACCCGTTACTCTCCACCTACATGCTACGCCCGTCCGACAACACAATTTCTGTTCGAGGCTAGCCAGCTGCCACTATCTGGGGACTGAGCTGTAGTGCTTGTGGTCCGAGCGCTCCCCTTGAGTAATCTTCACGGCGACGAGGTCTACAGCAGCTGTCTTCCCTTCAGCCTACCGAGCAGTGCATCCATCTACCAGTATGGCCCACAAAGGCTTACACAGGGACAGTCCCATGCCTCCTGTGCCGGGCACACTGACTGCCCCATGCCCAGAGCCACCGGCTTCAGACACCTTTTCAACAGGGGCACTCAGCTGTGAATCTGATGCTGCACCTTGCCGGGCCACTCCCTCCGTTGTCAGTGGAGCTGGCCACAGTGAATACAATGTCGGGCTACACTGCCTCAATGCAGGCCACAACACGGGCATCAGAACCCACCGGCCTGCTTCGCCGCAGGGGCTACTGCACACCTTACGTCACTCGGCCGTCCGGCTTTGTTTTGGGGCTCACTGGGAAGAATAGCTGCAAAGCATCCACCCCGGCAGTTAATCAAACGCCTCCTGCTACTTAGCATAAACTACACCCTGACCACTCTCCCAATGCCTTGGCCCACACAGCATCATCTGCCAATTCAACGGCTGGTTCTCCCGGGCGTAAGAAGGGTAAACACACTTTGTCTTCCGCCTGGACCAAGCATAAGAAATCATGGCCCTCATCCAGACATGACTTTTCTTCTGTGGAAGATTATGACAGCAGTCCAGTCTCTCTCTGAAACACTTTCATTGGTAGCAAGTTGCCTCGGCTTGACACCTGCATCCTCGGCAACTGCTCCGGACCCATACCTGCCACGGATGGAACCTTTTCTGCATGCGCCGGTTGCACCCTAACCCACTCAGGATGACTACATTCCTCTCTCTTGTCTGGATACCGGAAACGACCGCTCTTCTCACCCCATTCCGGACTCCGCTCATGATACGGGCTTCGATGTCCCTCACACCATGGACCAACTGCAAGCCCAACATGACGTATCTTCCAAAGATGAAGACATTCCCTCTGCTGCCAGTCTTACACCTTCGGGGCTCAACTAGGTTTACGGTCAACTCGGTCCGAAGTCAACTTGGTTCCTTTGGAAAAATTTGATAATTTTTAACTTGGACGTTACTTCATCAGTTATGCTCTGTTTCTGTCAGGTCGGTTAAAGGCCTGATTATTGGCTATTTTTGGGAAATGCAGAAAATGTAAGTTAAGGTGTATAATATTTCCGAGTTGATTACGGACCGAGTTGAGTGGCGCCGTTTGTCTAGACTGTACAGTACTTATTTTGAAGGCTGCTTCGTCTGAAGGGGCTGCACAAAGTTGCTCCCAACTTCTCTGCGCACACTTTTGCATTTTGCTTTTCGAAGGCCGGCTGCTTCTTGATGGCTTGTAAAGCCAAAGTGGATCATCTTTGACAGGGGCATGTTTGATGAACTTACAGTAAGGGCAAGATGCGCAGGGCAATGACTAGACGTGATGTGTGCAGGATGTGACTCCAAAATGATGAACAAACTTTTTGCGTAGCAAATTTAATCCGAACATTCTATATTTACAGATTTCAAAAAATGATCATTAGTGAAGTATCGAATAAATCTGTATGAAGGAGGTTTATAGTGTGTCTGTCACTCTCCATCTGTTGTGTGATGATGATTGGCACCAGTCACAAGAAGAAGACTAACTATGAGCAAGTCAATCCTTCACCAAAAAACGATTTTTATGCTGCACTGCGGAGGTAACTCTGTCGAATTGGTTGCACATGTTTTACACATGTTTGACATTCTCCAACTTAGACCTGAAAATGAGGGTTTGTGAACAAAAATTGTGGACAACAGATGTGGGAGGTTTTTTCCAATGAAATTTCTGAATTTTAAATACAGTTTTTGAATGGACTTGATTCGAATTAGTCCAAGTCAGCCAGTAGCCAAGTCCGAGCTAAGCCGAGCCCTCCATCATTGCACTCGACGCACTATGACCTTCTCTGTGGTCATGTGTTCAGTGTTGAAGACTGTATGAGATGGATGTTTAGAAAAAAAAATTACAGACTTTGTCAGGCCCTCTGCTTTTTTTGCTTCATTCACTCTTTAAATGTTCAAGGTGTCTTACCTCTGCCCTGTGTAATACATGAACCCCCTTATCCATTCAGTTCTGAATTCAAAACTGAAGTATTTACTTTGATATTTTTGAAAGGTTCCCTTACCAGAATTGTATGATCGTGATTGTAATGACAGATTGTCAGTATTTCACATCAAGAGATAATAAATTGCAAAGCAACAAGATGCTTTAACTTTCTGTATATTATGCCATGATTTTCTGTGGCTAATAAAAAAGATATTACAACTTTTCCCAGACAAGATTTTAGATGACTCCTAAGAAAAACATCAACCCTGACAGAGCTCGATAAAGCCTCATGACGTGGTCTTTGCTGAACCACTTTCCAGATACTTCTATCAGAGTACCTTGCACGTGCCTGTGAAGAGGACATACCTGTCGCCTTGGACTTTAACTTGGCTGTCGTACTCCGAGCGCTTGATGAGAACGTCAATACTGTATTCGAACAGTTCGTACGAGTCTCTACATTGATTACAGCGGTGCGAAGATCCAACATGCTCAACTCCATCAATATTTCCTACAAAGGAGTCAAGTCGAAGCTCCAAGATCTTCCCCCTCTTTGGCAAGGATCTTTTCCCCGGGAAATTCATGGACATGATGGAGGCAGAGGCTAAGTGAATTGACGCCATGTACAAACTTACCCTCCGCAAACCACCTCCTCCATCTTTGTGTCACTACCGAGCAGAGACCGCCGAGCTCAACCCATGAGATAAGCCCCATGTCAGAGGGTGCAGGCTCCTTTTGTCACTTTTGTCTGCCCACCCAACAGTTGAGTCACGGACGTTCCCCTTCCTTTCAACCTACGAAATCATTGCAGAGGAACCTGAGGAACCCCACTATTTTGGGTGCCGGCGCCAATGACTACAAAGATGCCCCTGTACATCTTCAAGCTTTCGAAGGGTTAGGGAAAGACATCACAGCGGACATCTGGATGCTTATGACTGTCTCCAGCAGATGTTCTCTCAAATTCACCAGCACCGCACCATTCATCCTGTTTCTCCGTGCAACTCCAATTTCCTCGGAGAAAAACTAGCAAAAGGCACTGGAGTTGGAAATAGATGCTCTTCTTCAGAAGGAAACCATCCACCCAGTCCCCATATCACTCAGGAACGAGGGCCTCATCTCCACTTTCTTTCTGACTGTGAAGAAAGAACCAGGCAAATGGAGACCCATAATCAACCTCAAACCTTTCAACTAGTTCATCTGTCCGAGGAAATTCCTCATGCAAACCCTCAAAACCTTAATCCCATCTCTTCCAATCCCACGTTGGGCATTGTCGATAGACCACAAGGATGCCTACCTACACATCCAATCCATCCGCAAGATACAAGTTCCATTGTTTACTGTACAACGGGAACTTGTTCAAGTTCACAGTTCTTCCCTTCAGCCTGTCCACCTTGCTGAAGGCAGCCACATCAGATGGGAACCCCTAGCTGGACGTTTTGGACATCGGACTCAACACCTCATCAGGGCCCATGACATCCAAGCAGTGTCTACCTCATGAGCCTACTTCTTGGGTGTCCCGATGGAGGAGATATGTAAGGTAGCGTGCTGGAAGACCCCATTGACCTTCACTTCATGCTACCTCACCAGTGTCCTACAGAGAGACTGCTCATATGGCAAGGTGGTCCTGGCATCAGTCACACCAACGTAGAGGGTTTCCTCATTGGGACGGGCCCGCACTCAAACTACTGCTTGGTGAGTCTGCGTCATAGTGCTTCATCCTATGATTATATATTTACCTCTAACCACACACTTCTCTCCCTTATGTAGTGCGTCCTTACCTTCCTCCAGGGAATGGTGCTACTCTTCATATGTAGAGACTGTTTGGGGTAGGATAAAAGCAGAAGACTCCTCCCCCACAGAAATGTGGATGAGGTCTGCTGTTGATTACCTACCCCAAACAGACGGCTCGCTCCCATCCTCCCCACTTTCAGCTCTGATGGTTTTTACCGGAAAAGGACAAACATGGCAACCTCTCCACT